CTGAAGCTCAGCAAGGAAGTTAAGTTCATTTTCTGAGTCACTACTCTCCAAAGTAGGATGGAGCCACTTCAGGGATCCACTGAGATGAGAGGAGATACCAAAATAAAGTGGGAAGATAAAGAAAATTTTGAATTCACTTTAAGTAGATGGCTACTGAGAAGTAAACAGCTGCTGCCTGATACACCCAACCAGAGAGGTACACATCCTGAAATTTCTTCAATCTCTCATTCAGTGACCCAAGGGTAAGCCTTAATAGATGCCTGCTATGACCAAGGCTAGGGATTAGGGATTGGGGACTCAAAGATAAATAGAGCATAACTACATAATATTTGAGTCTTGCATCCAATATCCTATCCACGTGGTCTTTCCCGATTTACCCTTTCTTTAAACTCCCAATTTAGCCCTAAATTTTCTTAAACATAAGTAATCACATGAACCCTCCCTGCCTTCTGACCACCCTGCCTATGACTGCATCCAATCTAGCTGCCTGGCTCCTCCAGCTCCCAGGCCTCCCTAGCCCTGCCACTGAGACCACCATCCGATGCTGAGGAGGCTTATGCATATGTCCTCCAAGTAGGCATCTAAATGCCTTCTGGGTATGAAATCACCCTTATTTCCCTTCTGGCCCCCTGTGACAGTCCAAGACATGCAATAGGTGCTCAGTGCGGGCTTCATAACCACACCACTCGGCTTCCATTTTATAATGGCAGATAGTTCTCTGCCCAACAAAGGTGCTACTAAAATGTCAAGTGTCAATCACATTTTTGCAAATTGAGTCATATTCTTCAGTGCACTAAGGGAGTTTGCTATTTAAAAGATCCTGCGGTTGATTCTTTTGTAACATGAATAATCACTTCCTGCTTTACTTTTCCTGTCAAGATGAATTTTTTTATATATTAGGTTTCTCTAAGGGTAGAAAACCTATGCAGAGTTTCATTAAGAGCTCCTATATCATGAGCTATATCTCCCCTACCCCCTCTAAGTGCCCTTTCCTATGTTCTCTGCAGGATTTTGAAGAGTTTAGGACTTTTCTGTCCAATACAGTATCACTAGCCACATGCGGCTACTAAGTACTTGAAATGTCTGAATGGAGATGTGCTCTAAAAGCACAGCAAGTTTCAAAAACTTATTCTGGGAAAAAAAGAATGTATAATTACTCATCAATAATTTTTATGTTGAAATGATACCTTAGATAAGTTGGGTTAAATAAATA